CAGGCGCAACCGGGCCCGCCCCTGGCCTGGCGCGTGTACTGGCCCCGCCCCGCACACGCCGACGTCTGCGAAGCGCGCTGCCACGTGACGCCACCGGTCCCTGCGCCCCGCCCGCTGGGCTGCAGCCGTGGCCCCGCCGCGGCTGCGCACTGCCCTCCCCAAGGCCAGCTCCCCGGGGCTTGGAGCATGCGCAGAGCCCTTTTGTTGCGTAGGCGCAGCGAGGAACCTGCGCACTGTTGCCTGGGGCAGGTTAATTATCGAATTGATGCGGTAACTTCAACCCTTTGACGATGCGCGATCAAGAAGAGTGAACGTGTTAAAAAATGCACGGTCCTGTTTGAGGCAGCTGATTGATGCAGCATATGCAAAACCCCAGTCACTCTCAGGGAGTCTTCACGGACTTGTGGGGTTGCTGTCAGCAGCACTTTCGTACGACTGCTCGCCTCGAAATAAAGAAACGCTTCAACTCCGATGACCCAGTTCTCACTCGCTGGCGATTAGAGTGAGCATTTAAAGTCAATAAGATGTATTTGCATACTCATTTACATACGCATTTGCATCTTTTAGTGTGCGATAGTTGTTCAGCAAATATGAAAATTTTGAGCTTCCAACACGGTAATCGCATATTTAAGACCTGGGAATGCTGAGCCTACTTGCTGGTGTGAAGCGCAGGCTCCACTGGGGCAGGAGCAATGCTGCTCTTTCCCTGGGGCTGCTGCTGGGGAGTGCCCTGCATCATCCCTGACTGAAGCAAAGACCTCGAGCACCCAGGGCTCGGAGCTGCCCTGGACCATCTGCAAGGCATAGGGGGTGCACACGGGTTCATATGCACCCTCTGAGTGTGGCGGTGTCCCCCTGCGAAAAGGCACCACTAACACTGTTGATGGCTCCGCGCAGTCACTGCTCGCTACTGCCCACCCCCAGCCCTGATACTGCAGGCAGCTTCTGCGGGTGATCTGTGATTGCCATAGGCTGCCACTGCCACTACTGGTGGCATCTGTGGATAGTCGCCAACCATCAGTTGATGCTAGCCACCCCCCCACTGACAGCGCCTGTGGGGGAATTCCCAGTGGGGTTTGGGGAATTTCCATGGGAATTTCCATAGCTCAGTCTTCCAACCTGTACAAACAGCAGCAGAGATGTTCGAGATCAACACTGGGACCACCACCTTTGACTCGATCAGTTGGAGACTGAGGTCACGACAAGGATCGCACTGGACCACGCCTCACCGGCCAGAGTCAGCTCACAAACTCAGGGATGCCTGACTTGTGAGAGGCTAACAAAGCCTAATTGGACAGAAAGTGTGCGCGCTTGGCAACCGGCTCTGACCGATAAGTGTCACTGATATATGTTTATGTTTGTGGTGTTATTGTATGTTATAGTCACATTTGTGTTTTATTGTTATTTGTAACCTTCCCTTTGTTGTTGAACACAGTTGTTTAAATAAACCCAAAAATCTGTAGAACCTTTCCTCAGATCTGGCCGACTATTATCAGGCCACGACATTAAGTTGGTGTCACGAACAGGATTTCTGGGAGTGGACATGGAGAAGGATTCAGAATGGTCAGCACTTGCTGTCCTTCTGGAGGACGGGTCAGGTTAAGAACCCCAGTTGGGATAAGGAGTTTCTGAGGTCCCGGTGGAACGACCCCAGGGAAATTAAGAATCAGTGGGACTGACTGTCTGCCAGTTGCAGGAAAAAAGGAGGCCCCAGGAAGGGAGCACTTTCCTGGTTGCTAGCCACCTGTGTAAAGTTAGGGGCAGAGGCATGTCAGGAGTCAGAGCGTAAGAGGAGTGAATTAGAACTTGAAAATGAACGGTTGCAAGAGGAGCTGAGAGAAGCAAACGATCGGGCAAGGGTAGCTGCGGCGACTGCCGGGTTAGCCCAAGAGAAGTTAGAGGTGCTAGAGGGACAACAGGCCCAAGCACTAGTGGTGAGGGCCCAAGCCATGCTGCAGCGTATGGCCGATCACGCCAAAACGAACGACCCTGAGCCCAAAAGAGTGTAGCAATGTCTGTACAGACAGAGATCGATGTTAGGGCTATGGGAGAAGAATGATGGGGAGGACAGCAACTCGGAGACCACCACACCACCCCCACCATATGCTCCTGATCCACTCCAGGCAGAAGACAACCCTAGTCCATTGGCCTGTTCAGTAGTTTCCACCTGAGTAGCACAGGGCGGACAGACCTCAATGCAATTAATTTCCTGTACTCACACAGACTTCCATGACATAACGGAACAGTATAGGAAAAACTCCAAAGAGGGACATTTGGCCTGGCTTGCCCAAATCTGTTGGGACCAGGGAGATAACATACTTCTGGCCCCCCATGAGGGCAACCTCATAACGTTAGAACCGGGACTTCCCCTCGGACCCCAAATCCAGCTGGGAGGAACCTCCCTGGCAGAGGCCTGCATACAGGCCTATGGCATACCATATCAGGACTTGGGAGGAAGCTCCTGACCCAGAATGGACTGATTCAGACCAGATGTCTTCCTGTTTGTGGCAGTTTCATAGTTTCATAGTTTCTAGGGTCGGAAGGGACCTGAGCAGATCATCTAGTCCGACCCCCTGCCATGGTAGGAAGAGCACTGGGGTCAAATGACCCCAGTAAGGTGGTCATCCAACCTCCTCTTAAAAACCCCCAGGGTGGGAGCCTGCACAACCTCACTTGGAAGCTGGTTCCAGACTCTAGCCACCCTGACCATGAAGTAGCACCTCCTGATGCCCAACTTAAACCTTCCCTCCGCCAGCTTGTGACCATTGTTCCTGGTCACTCCTTGCAGCGCTCGGGGGAACAGGGACTCCCCCAGCGCCTGCTGATCCCCCCTAACCAGTTTATAACAGGCCACAAGATCCCCCCTCAGCCTTCTCTTTTGAAGGCTGAACAGGTTCAGGTCCCGCAACCTTTCCTCATAGGACCTACCCTGCTGTCCCTTGATCATACGAGTGGCCCTCCTCTGGACCCTCTCGATGCTGTCCACATCCCTCTTAAAGTGCGGCGCCCAGAACTGGACGCAGTACTCCAGCTGCGGCCTGACCAGTGCCGCATAGAGGGGGAGGATCACCTCCTTGGACCTGCTCGAGATGCATCTGTGGATGCACGACAAGGTGCAGTTGGCCTTCCTAGCCGCCTCCCCACATTGCCGACTCATGTTCATCTTGGAGTCAATAATGACTCCCAGATCCTTTTCCACCTCCGTGCTGACAAGAGGGGAGTTCCCCAGCCTGTATGTATGGTGCCGATTGTTCCTCCCCAGGTGCATCACCTTACACTTGTCTGTGTTAAACCCCATCCTATTCTCCTCCGCCCATCCTTGTAACCTATCTAGGTCCAACTGTAGCCTGTTGCTCCCCTCTATTGTGCCCACATCCCCCCACATCTTAGTGTCATCAGCAAACTTGAACAGGGTGCTTTGCACCCCCTCATCCAAATCACTGATGAAGATGTTGAACAGGGCGGGCCCAAGGACCGAGCCCTGTGGGACCCCACTTCCCACGTCCTTCCAGGTCGAGAAGGACCCATCCACTACCACCCTCTGGGTGCGACTCTCTAACCAGTTGGCGACCCATTGGACTGTATGGGTGTCTACGCCACAGTCCCCCAGCTTCCTAATGAGAATGGGGTGAGAGACAGTATCAAAAGCCTTCCTGAAGTCTAGGAAAACTATATCCACTGCCACCCCTGCATCCAATGATTTAGTGACCTGGTCGTAAAAGGCCACCAGGTTGGTCTGACAGGACCTGCCGCTGATGAACCCGTGCTGGTTGCCCCTGAGCATGCAGTTCCCTGCTGGCCCCTCCTGGATGTGTGCCAGAATAATTTTCTCGAACAGCTTGCCCAGGATCGAGGTAAGGCTGACTGGCCTGTAGTTCCCCGGGTCCTCTTTCCTCCCCTTTTTGAAGATGGGAACCACGTTGGCCCTCTTCCAGTCCTCCGGCACCTCTCCAGAGCACCACGAGTGTTCATAAAGCCGTGCCAGGGGACTTGCAATGACCCCAGCCAGTTCCTTTAGGACTCTAGGGTGAAGATCATCCGGGCCGGCTGACTTAAAAACGTCCAGCCCCTCCAGAAGCTCCCTAACTAAATCCTCACTCACCCTAGGCCCAGGTGAGCCTCCCCCGGGGCCCGAAGGGGGCCCAGCAGGGAGGTGGCAGTTCTGGTCCTTACTGAGGAAGACAGAGGCAAAGAAGTTATTAAATATGTTGGCTTTGTCGTCTGGCGTGACAACCAGATTCCCCGTCATGTCCTGCAAGGGCCCCACATTTCCTGGGGCCTTCTTTCTTCTCCCTATGTACTTAAAAAAGGACTTCTTGTTGTCCTTAATCCGGGAAGTCAGCCCCTGTTCCATCTCTGCCTTGGCCTTCCTAACCATCCCCCTACATCCCCGAGCAACTGAGTTGAGTATCTGACAGCTGACTCATACTGCCCAGTGGACGGTCAAGCCCGAGAATATTCAATTCACTGGCCTGATGTGGAGGCAGTTTCATCGGAGGGCGGCGCC